TCTGCCGGTACATTCCAATCGAAGGTAGCATCTGTTTCTATTTTTCGGCTTTCAAGTATTTGAATACTGCTTCTACAGCAGTCCAGCCGAAATTCTGTTCGTTACCTAAGCCAAAGGATCTAGAACTCTTTCTGACTTTTGGATTCTTTGATTGAATGACTATTGTCTAACTGACTTCCATTGCGGGGAGGTGTTGGAATATTCAATGTCAGTCATTAGGATTTGTACTGCTGTACTCCACACAGGCCAGTGTACTGAACACTTAAGTAGTAGGTGTTGGAGTAATTGCGGTACAAGAACGACTCTTTTCTACTGCATGGGTTTATGCGGTATTGTGAAGGCGTTGCCAAGTCTGTAACCGTCAGGTGAAGACAGCTTGCAAGTGGGCGTCTGTGTGGATAATAATATAACTCTGTGTGTTTGCCTACCTAACCTCGCATCACATGCCAGCTACTTTGTAGCCACAGCTGAAGGAATAGCTGTGCAGCAACTGCAGTGACAGTGCTGTTGCCTCAACAGGTTTTGAGCCTCGAGTTGCTCGAGCTAGTACACCAGAGTCACAAGAGTCGGTAAGCATGGCTACCGGCTCGTCAGGCGAGATCCGAAGAGGATTCGCCAAGTTCAGTGGTGACCCAGGCAACTACGTCGGCTGGCGAACTCTGCAGACCTCCTTATTTATGGAGGACAAGCTGCACAAGGTTATGGTACCACCTAAGGAGTATTACCGGAATAATCTTCGGTATGTTGATTCAGTAATCGGATCATTGTACACACCTGCGGGTTATACATTGAACCATAGAAGTATGGTACATCAGACTATTGTCCCTTAAAATATTCTAGAAACGTTGCCACAGGTCGGATTGACCGTCTACTACCGTGATCGGTACGTTGCAATAGCCCGTGTGTGTTTCCTTTCCGTGATGACAGTGGATGGCTCGCCCCCATGGTGCTTGCCCCTACTCGCTCACTTCTTCTACTCTCTCTCTATTTCTGCTTCTCCTTTCTCTCTTCTCTACCTTCGACCAACTAGTCTAAGCGCCAATACAACCATATCATCTGGTCTACAACACAAGTGTACTTTATAGTTACTCTGTGAGCCTCTGCACACTGTTCTACACAGGACCAACTGCCAGGGATACAACCTACACAGGTGTATATCCCAACAAAGGGTAGTACACGTTTCACCACGAAAAAATCGGGGGAATATCGCCATAACAGGACGAAAGCAACAACAACAACAACAACAACAACAACAACAACTACCACCGTAACGATGCCGCCCCCTCCCCCCCCAGTGATACCGGGCCCTACATCACCAGATACCGACTCCGGACCATCTTTACCCCGTGTGTACCACAATCCATTGTAGAGCTCGCCCTCGCCTACGCTCCCTTCATTCTGATTTCAAATACATCTGTGCCGTGAGCCACACATGCCCCAAGGTCGTCGCTGCTAGTCAACACCTCTTCAAATGCAACGTAGATCCCTCGCGTCCAACACACTTTCGTGGCCATCTCATAGTACTTCGATGCCTTGTGTGCGAAGGGCAGTGTGAATCGTAGGAGATCACCTGATCGATCCCATTTTTCTATTTTTCGTATTTCCTCACCTTGATTACCTCGTTTTCAGTGAAGGCATCAATTGATCCCGAGGATGTTTGCCATCCACAATAACCTCGGAGGCCCTTGGGGGAATGTCGTACTAACGTATCCTTCACTTCGTCTGAAGCGTACTTACTTTTTTGCACAACTGCCTCCATCGAAGCTTTGTTCGCCCGAACAATGGTCGCCTTCAGGGGAGTGGGTGACATCTTCAACACTTGCGGAAGCGGTTCCACTAACATGAACAGTCGTTTTGCTTGTGTGGAGATTTAAAATGAAATGTGTTGAAAATATTAGGGAAAACGACACAACAGGGTATACCCTGGTCGAAAAGCGACACACCTGGGTACACAGTCATTAACAGCAGTAAATGCATTCATATGATTGGTCAGCGCCCAATTTCACCCCGGTACGTCCGAAAAGGCGCAGGGTATACCCTGCTGTGTCTACTTTTCTCACCAACTGTACCCTGTTTTCGGAAGTATACCCTGACCTGACGGGAAATGAGACCCATTCATCAATCATTTCCCCCGCAGGAATTTTCCCATCTATCTCCTTTTCCCCTCCAACCATGGGGTACCAAACGGCGAATCTTCCCACCCAATAACAACCATGGCAACGCGGCAGGAATCCGTTTCCGCCCCTGCCAAACAACACCAACCATCAACTCTTCCGCTCTAAATCAACAATGGCCGGGCACTACCCCAGCACTGCAGTTGTTCCGTTTGGAAACCCGCGTACAATACCCCGTGCACCACTGCTTGCTGCAGTCTATATGCGACATGCACGGGTCACGCTACGAAAGCGAGACCGATCCAGCATGGTTGACATGCATATATATATATATGCATGTATGGACACAGCACTACACGGGTAACGTTGGGCGCTGCCACTCCCTCCTGCCTGTGCCGTGTGTGCGTGGGTGTGTTGTCTGTTGTGTCTCAATTGCGATGTGTTTGTTGCTTGAACTACTACTACTACTGCTGTAACAGCAGCGGTCGCGCTTACCAGCCGACCAAGCCGACCAACCAATCAATGTATGTAGTAAGAAGACGTCAGGCTTCAGCGGGATGAGCCGATGAAATACACCGCGAGCACAGGGAGGGTGATTGAGTTAGACGACACAGTCCTGCTGCTAGAGTTGTTAGCGCTCGCTCCTTCTTCCATGATTGATGTCAAGGGCGTGTCTGTGTGTGGTGTTGCTGCCTCTCTCCTCCGCCCACTCAGCGCAGCGCCATACATCATGGGCACATACATGCATATATATATATGCATGTCAACCATGCTGGATCGGTCTCGCTTTCGTAGCGTGACCCGTGCATGTCGCATATAGACTGCAGCAAGCAGTGGTGCACGGGGTATTGTACGCGGGTGCATGTTTCCAAACGGAACAACTGCTGTGCTGGGGTAGTGCCCGGCCATTGTTGATTTAGAGCGGAAGAGTTGATGGTTGGTGTTGTTTGGCAGGGGCGGAAACGGATTCCTGCCGCGTTGCCATGGTTGTTATTGGGTGGGAAGATTCGCCGTTTGGTACCCCATGGTTGGAGGGGAAAAGGAGATTGGGAAAATTCCTGCGGGGGAAATGATTGATGAATGGGTCTCATTTCCCGTCAGGTCAGGGTATACTTCCGAAAACAGGGTACAGTTGGTGAGAAAAGTAGACACTGCAGGGTATACCCTGCGCCTTTTCGGACGTACCGGGGTGAAATTGGGCGCTGACCAATCATATGAATGCATTTACTGCTGTTAATGACTGTGTACCCAGGTGTGTCGCTTTTCGACCAGGGTATACCCTGTTGTGTCGTTTTCCCAAAATATTAACCTTACCCGGTAAATATTTCCCGCGGGATCGGGCCCGGAGGGCACGCTTGGCGAGGGAGAAATTCCTCAAAAACTTCGCTATGTAATGCGAAATCCACGAGACACAAAAACCTCTTAGAAACTCCCCCCCCCCTCCCATCCCCCCCCGGTGTTTGGCATCGGGTTGGGTTTTCATCGCTTGGCAAAGACGTTGTAAAACAAGCCAATCGCTTCGTGAGCTCGGCAACCAGGTTACCACTTTCTTTTTTGCCTTTGTTTTTTTTTGCGGTAACTACAATGGTGGTCGAGTAGATCATGTTGTGCGGAGTCGAGAACCCTCACTCCGCGCAAAGGGGATGATCGCAGCGCGTTGTGTCAAATTGGTCAAGCACCCTCGAAGCAGTTAGTTACACAGTGCTTATAACTGTCTCTGGAAGTGAAAGCACCAGAAAATAAAGTAAGTCACACGCAGCTGTCATCCGTAAGCAAGCAAGTAAGCACAAGATACCGAACACCCTTATCAGGATGCAGCCCACCCTTCATGCGACTCGCCGAATACCTCACGGCGCTTCGCGCTTGGTGATGTGAGAGCCTGGTCCGGTGAGAGCCCGGCGTGCTCCGTCCCGGCTTTGTAGGGATGCGAGGTCAATGGTGTAACGACTACGGCATGCACGACTATGAATACACACCCCCCCTCCCACCCTATTCTGCACCGGCCACCAACACGACGTTATGCCACCCGCGCTCGCCCGTCTCCCGTTACGACTGCCGCAAAGGCTCGCTGTGTACGTCTCGGAACCATTCGTAAAAATGCCAATGGTATCGCTCAAAGTCGTATAACGCCTTCGAATTTCTAACCGAACCGCGGAAACGCGTGCAAACATCTATGTCTACGTTGATCAGCGCTGCCCACACGGAAGGCCCTTGTGTCGATCCGGCTTTTGCTCCAAAGTGCCGATGGTGAAACCAAACGGGCCACCAATCTCTTGCAGAGTGTCAGACTCAGAGACGGAGTGTCTCGGCGTAGGCCCGTTTGTGGGCACATTTCATGCGCGTGCTGACACTAAAACAACGATGGTCAAATTCCTGAAAAAAGTGTGGACTCACGGAAACATCTACATAGACCACAACTATCGTCGCTGTCAACGGTTCAATCTTACGTGTTGCCGGGGTGATTTACGTGTACTAGAGTTTAATGAACATGGTAAAACTGAAGCTTGTAGATCAAATGTAACCTACGACCATTCGAAAGAGACCTTCCTTCCCTGCATCTAACCCCGTGTCGAGCGACCACGTCGCAACAAGCTTCCAGTCGCAGGCATCGCCCCCGTTCGTACACATACGTTGTCCCTCCCTCGTGCGGTGGCGGGAGATGCACATGAGCAGGAGACCCTGGCGACGCCACGTCCTATTTGCCCTCTCGGCCGGAGCGTCAACCAACAGCTTTTGTACGCTGGCCATCGCAAAAGGATGCCATGTGTGGCGATTGCACCTTTCCAATGCTGTCTTCCCTTCATGGCCCGTCATTTTCTCGTCGGCACCAGCCTTCAGCAAGAAATCCACTTTTTCGACGATGCCCGGGGTAGCGGCACTCGGACATTAAGGGGAATACACCAGCGTATGCAGGGGTATGTTGCCGTTGTTGTCCCGTGTGTTGACGTCTGCGCCATAGTTTACGAGTAAGCGCATAGCTTCCACCTTTGGGGCCACGGCTGTTGAGCGGTGCAATGCCTTCGTTTGTCCGAGCTTCGACGTCGAGCCCGGCCTCGATGAGGGCACCGACTTCACCATCACGCTTTGCGACATGAAACAGCGTTGACCCGTCCGCGGCCGATACATCCCCAACAACGTCTACACCGAGCTCGATCATCGTTTTCATGCTGTCACTGTGGTCTTGCGTTCCTCCACACGAGAGGGCCGCGAAAAGTGGTGGTTCGTCATTCATGTCTCCACAACGGTTGGATCGGCTCCAGCCTCGACGAGGGCTCGCATCACGCCTGTGCTGCAACAGGATGTTGCGATGTGAAGCGGTGTTTGTTGGTGTACATCCCTTGAGCGGCTCCATTCTGAAGTGGCATTTTTGTGATGGCCACGTTGCCGATGCTGGCGGAGATATAGAGAGGGAAATCACCCCTCTTGTCCTTGTCGTTGACGGGCGCCCCACCCTTCACGAGAGACACAGCGAGCTCTTCGTTTTGCTGAAGATGGCCTCGTGTAAGGCCATGGCCAGCTCGGTGCTGTGCAGTGCGCTCGCTGCTATTCGCTCCTGAAAGAAGGGGATGGGTGGGGAGGCACGTGTTTCAAGCCTTCTTCGATGCAATCATGACCAACTTGCATTACAAGCGGGAGCAATAAGGCTCTGTCAAAACACTTGCATCTCCTTTGGCCGACAGGTCACCAGCGACGCCAAAAATGTCTGGCTGGAGACATTCTGTTTCATTTTCTGCTTGTTTCGCATCTGTGATGAATTTCCGCGTTCTGGTTTCTATTTGATTGTTTCCTTCCAAGGGTGTCACCTGGCTGGATAGTAGGCCTGACCACAAACGACGTTCGCATCAGATGGACCGGTACGGATGTAGCATAGACCGTAACGGTTTTTTCTGTGGAGACAACAACAACAAAAACAACAACACTTAGAATGCAGGCATATCGAGAAGCTTCCGTATCACATTGCACGTCTCGAATACCGTAATAGGCGGAGAGATGGCACCGGGTGCGATTGTTTTTTTTTTTTAATCCTCGAGTTTTAATCGCACCCCGGTGCCATCTCTCCGACCGGCGCCATCTCTCCGACCCTGGCGCGGAACTGCAAGTAAATCGTTTCGTTTCGATTTTTTCAAGGCAGCCCCGATGCGATCTCTCCGACCGGTGCGATCCCAGAAGACTAACACACAGTCGTTGCATGCACGCACCACGGTGCCATCTCCCCGACCTGTACCATAGTAATGATACCAGTGTAGGCATTGATCAGAATAGAACCACACGTGTAGGTACCGTTGTTGCTTGTTGGAAGCACACCGGTGACGACGACGTACGCTGGTACGTAACAGGTTTCCATGCAGCGAGTGGTCTTGTGTTTGATGCGAGTTTGGCGATGGCGTGACGACAACAAACGACGTCGTTTCCATCTGGGGTACCGGTACATACGGTATCAGTTGTCTCCCGCTTTCGTTTCGGTCTTCCCCTATGGATACCAGTACGTACGCAGCAGTTACACTCGTTTCGTGTTGTGAAAGGTGGGGTAGGGTGCGGCTTGTATGTTGTGTGTTTGGTTGAGTGTGCAGTTGGCAACTTCCATACCAATTAAAAAATGAAAACAACCGGCTTCCGGCGTGAACCGGGACCATGCAAACGTACATACAGGAGTGGCGCTCGGCTGACACCGTCCCCACGTGTAAAAGGTACGACATTGTACCCCATTCCGGTAGCTGAAAGGAGCTCAATCTTAGATTTGGGGGTCGGAGAGATCACACCCGGTGCGATCTCACCGACCCCGGTGACGTGCTACAGCTAACAACTTGTGTGAAGGGCCGCGTCACTTCCGGAACGGCAGCGTGGGTGGTATTATGTTTGGAGACGTGTTAATTTCGGAACGACCGCGGTTTATCGTGTGTGTGTGTGATCACGTGTCGTGTGTGTGTGATCACGAACTTCTTCTGGAGCTCGTACGGCAAGAAGGCCGACGTAAAGCATGGCCGAACCGGGGGTAGCCATCCCTGGATAAGCTACAGGAGGAGAATGAAGGGCTGCGCGCGAGAATCCAGTTTGGTGACGTTTCGGGAACAGAAGGCGGGGGGGGCACCGCGGCGACTGCACCTGGCACGGGAACTATCGCTGGAGATGACGTAAATTGTTTTCCTTGCCATGATTCGTGGTGCGTCCCCCCCGATCCTTCTCCCTGCCAACCCTCCCCTCGTATCGGTTTGGTGGTTGTTGACGTGCCGTAGTCGATCTGGCATGCGCTACGTCTGCGTCGACGAGACAAGAGCAGGCATCATTTGCATGTATGTTACAGCTTGAATTAATTGCCACATCGCACAAAGGAGCGTTCGAGGTCGTCATCCACGTTGACCTTGAAAATCTTTCCATAGTCAGGGTTTTCGGTGTCCTAAGTCCCAACGTCATACCGGGCCCCGACTCCGACACGCATGCCTCCCTGGTTGGGATCGCATCAAAAGCATGATACCACGGGGTGGCGTTGCGTAATGGTACATGTTGCATTATCAGCTGCAGAGAGGCTGCCTCGTCGAGGAAATCACTATGCACCTGAAATCGGCGGTTTCAGTAACACACGCTGTTGAAGAGATTGGTGTGAAATTTTCGAGAATGATGTGATATCTCACCCGAAAATGGTATGGGCCATTAAAGATATTGGGCTCCACGGAAGTAGCCATCGTGAATTTCTTCATTCTACCCACGACATTGATAGGCAGGGTTTTAGGTTTCCCAAGTCCGGCGTCCCGACTACCCCCAACAATCGGTTTCACTGTCGTCTCCTACATGAAAAATTTCATTCCTTCCATCATCATGTTCATGGTTTTCTGTGTCCCCCCGACGTGAACCCGTGTCCCGACTCTCTCATCACAATTGCATCAACACATTACCAAAGGCCTGGTTCACCTTCGTGACAAACCGTGACAATTTTGCACTCCAATCGTTTTCAAGCATATCCAGGGATATCCACGTCCGAATTCCTGGTGTGAAACCAAGTCCTGACTGACTCAAGCAATCGGTTTCACTGCTGATTTCACAATGAAAAATTCACAACATTTCATTTCGATGACATTCATGTCTACCTTAGGTATCCTGGGTTCAGATCCCGTTGTGACCCCGAGACCCAACTTCCACACACATGCTCCCCTCGTTGGAGCACAATTGAAAAATAGAATATTGAACGGGGACAAAGATTTGGTTCACTGCCGTGAGCACACCAAATAAATTTCATTCATTTTCTTGAAAATCATATCCAGGAATACCTATGTCCGAAGTCCCAGTGTGAACCGAGTCCACAGTCCCACACACATGTCTCCAAGGTTTGGATCACATCAGAAGCAAGAATAAAAACTTGGGGTCATCGGTGAAACATGTCTGGTTCATTTGCGCCTTGGAAGTGACTTCCTCGTAGGGGGAACTCATGTGTATGTTTCTGACGCCAAATACTCTCCATATTTTGAAACACGACACTGCTGTTGAAGAAAAGAAAGTGCTCAAGAACAACGTGACAGTTCAGCGCAAATTTGAACCTTTCGGTATTTTCAGGGCTTAACGGAAACGGGCGTGTCAATTTTCACTCTTAGTGTCCATGCCAGAGCAGATTCGGCTTTATTCCGAAGTAGACCTTACGTAATTAATGCCTTTCCGGTTGTCCTTCAGGTCCCGAAAGAGGTCCAAGAACGGACGGGCCCACACGCAAAGTCAAGCACGCTCAAGCTTCAACTTTCCACACGGTAATCAATCGATTCGCTGTAGGAGTAGAGTCTCTTCGACCAGTTACCTTAGAGTAGAAAGTCAGCATCGCATTCTGCACCGGAACTCTTCGACCAGTTGTCTGCGAGTAGAAAGTCAGCATCGCATTCTGCACCGGAAGCCTAAGGGCTCATCGTGCGCTTGCGTATTGACTCGTCCTCCGCAGCAGCTGCAGCAGCCGCACATGTCAACAGGGTCTGCCAGCAGGTTTCGTGTCCACTGAAGCTATTTCGGAAACGTTTCGCGCGATATCGTAATATGGCGTATGTACGACACCGCCCAGGTGGTGCTGCGACATCGGATTTGGCCGTATCTCCACAACCTCCCTTAACATTGGGCCGACAAAGGGCTTGCACGGCAGCTGACAGCCGAGGGAACACAGTTAATGTGTTCTGGAAGCATTTTTGTGCGGTATCGGTAAAACATGTTACGATCCCGGTGTCAGCAAAGGCTTATTGGGAAACTTGATATTTGCAGAGCACTACCAAGCGCGCGCGGAATAGTCTACAGTCGAGAACCCTTTCCCTTTCGGTTTCCACTTCACGGCGAACTCGACAACAACGGACTTGGAACACATTTTGCATGTGTGTATCGTCAGCAATACTCCGTTGTCCTTCTGTCGTCGACATCGGTATCCTCTTTCCAGTGCGGTCTGGAGGAGGCTGTGGCGAATGTTTAGCCTGATGCAGTAACTCGGAGAATCGGCACGTTGTCCAATACTCGGTGCATATGGGCAAGGCGAGCACTCGAAAGAAGGCACCACTCTACATCGAGTATCGTTGAAATTGAATCTCGTCTGGGAGAAACCGCCGTGCGACAAGAAACGGATCCATCAGATCTGAGAAAACGCCGTCGGTTCAGGCCCAACACTACTTTATGTGTCTGTTCATCAGGGCTCCGGATCTGTTCTCGGCGTGTCTGTTTGAGGCCTACAAGAGCTGTGGCCACAACCGCCTACTAAACCGTAGGTGATCGATACGGCCCTTCGCCGAACTGTGCCCCACGATATGTTCCTGTTCCTGACCTTCAAGAATTCAGCCGTGGCAGGTTTAAGATCATATTGGACAATCGCTTCTCCGACCAAAGGGGAAGCGTTGGTGTTATTGAGGTACTGCATAATCACGCGCGTCGGTATCCAAAACTCTGTCCCGATCGCACTTTCTGAAACTACCTTTCATGAGACCGGTTGCACTGCTTTCTGGCGTAACCGCAACCACATACGCAGTGGTGGCAGCCTCGTTGCCCGAAAGGTTTCCAACTCCAACATTATCTCAAATTTGGCTAACGTATTGTAGCACATTTTTCTGCCCAGAAACGGCGCTTTCTACAGTATTCTTAAGCGAATTTCACATCCCTCTGTTCTGCAAGAGAACGGGCTACACACTACACATTGACACCCTCAGGAAAGCATGAGGTGGCGTCTGATCTGATCGTCGCCACATCACATTACGAATCCAATACTTCGTCTAGATGTACCCTCTCTTTCTCCACGTCCCCGACGAGGTCCTTGAGACTCTGCCCGCAATGAGCCATCAGAAAATCCCGCCACCTGTTTCGCGTTTCATGCGATATGGGGGTGGGGTAGAGGTGATGGTCAAAATGTCTACATACCATGGTTGTAGCATGTGGACCACGGGTCCTCGCCGGGGGGGGGGGGGGGGGGGGGGG